TTTAAAATGAAGCTTGACTCCATCTTCATCAGTCTGGGAAGCGCGTAAGCATGCAGGCCAGTCCAGGTTCTCTTGCTAAGATAGGCCCTTGTCCTTTGAATGAGAGTGATTGTTTTCATTCAAATGCCTTCCGAGGGGTTCCCTCTAATGGGCTTACTTTTAGATACGTCCAACTTGACGAACTGCAAACACGCTGTCAAAAACTTTTCTATCGTGTATTATGCGAGAATGTCAAAGAACTAATGCCAATCGTATACACACCCACAGTCGGACTCGCGTGCCAGAAATTCGGTGCCATTTATCGTCATCCGAAGTGGGTTGGTCAGAGGTGAACCTTTCAAAGAGGGTGCATACAAAGGTAATGTGATAACGCTTTAAGGGGTGTTTACATCACAATACATGACAACAGTATCAGCAAAATTCATCAGATCTTAAGCAACTGGAGAGAACCTAAAGTTAAGGTGAGCCCAAGTCTTTCCTCAACTCCTGCCGTTACGAACTACAGGAATATAACCGAATCTAATGATAAGTTAATGTTTAGTGTATTGTGGTCACTGATGGAGAGCGTATCTTGGGACTTGGAGATCTAGGAGCACAAGGAATGGGTATACCAGTTGGAAAACTTTCGCTGTATGTAGCCTTGGCTGGCATTCGTCCCGAATTTTGTCTACCAGTCGTCCTTGACGTTGGAACCAACAACCAGGTTTGTAATTTTCTTAGAGTTCTTCTTCTCCTCTAGACAGTTAGTAACAAGAAAGAATGACTGAACCCATTTCCCTGGGTTATTCGAACAGGGTGCAGCTCCGAAATGGGTAAGGTGGCGGAGTCAGTGCGATCCACCCAAATTTTCTCTGCGTGTACAACCCCCTCCCACAACCTAATTTACAAATTTTTCCGGTCGAGCGGGTATACAGTAGTTTTTGCAGCAGGCATTGGGGCGTGGTAACTGTATGTAGCGCCCATGAAGATGAATCAACAATCGAAAAACCTCCGTGTGCCTCTCCCCTCCTATCTCAGTGACCAAATACGACCCACTGATGATTTTCTTACAAATGCTGTACCTTTACTCTTATTTTCAGAAATACCTCGAAGATCCGCTGTACATTGGTCTCCGACGCAAACGTGTACGTGGCGAGGAGTATGATCGACTTGTCGATAATTTCATGAAAGCCGTTACGAAAAAGTGGGTTCTCACTCGTTACCCATTTTTAGGCTGCTTTTTGAGAGCTTTTCGAACAGTGACGGTGCAGGGCTGACGGCGCCTGTTTGACGACGGCGTGGCACCCTTGCATTTAACGACTTCCACTGACTGTCGTCAGTTCGCACCTTTCTCGATGTTGCACAGCGTCTACATCACGATGGCTTGACGAGCTTGCTCCAGCTTCACAAAGTTCACAGGTTTCACCAGAGTGAGACTTGTAAACCACAACTATGTAGTGAAGCAACTAAAGTGCTAAATGCCCTCCCGTCCCCCCCGGCAAAACTGCCGCCAAGGCGCTTTCTGCGATTTTCTGCTGTTGTGCAGGCTTTTCGCTGGCTACGTGCGGTCGATTCAGCGTGGCGGGTATGGCAGGGGAGCCCATTTCTCCACGATTCTTCTTGCTGAAATTCGTGGAAAACTGGTTGGCGGCTCGTCAATCACGTATTTGCGTGGTTGGGGGGGGGCTACCGCTACTTCACAGGCATCACTGCATCTCTTACCCCAACCAAGGCTTACAATTAGACTTGGAGCTCAGAAAGTCAGACTCGCCCTGAGGCAACATGAATGACCAGCAGCGACTCTGGCACTCAGCACTTCAGGAATATTTAGGCTGAGCGGAGATGCTCACGATACTGTGGCAATCTCTCGCTCTTCTCCCCAAATGTATCAGCGCGGGGGACTCCCTCGCTATATCCAGGCGGTTACCCGAGCAGGGTATAGCCTCGATCCATCCCGGAGACTACTGATTCTGAATGTGTGCCCTTGGAACGGGATATTTTCCAAAGAGACAAGTGAAACCAATGCTCGAGCCAGAGATAAAAGTACAAAGGAGAATCACGCCGCTGAACGCTCTCGAAAACCTGCCGTCGCGGCCATCAAAGCCTACCTCTCATAACATGGAAGTCCAGTCCGAGCAACCACAACTGCCATTTAGACAGTGACAGAAAGGGATACTTTCAAAGACATCTCCATGTAAGACCAGGGTTAAATAAAGACAGCCAACGAATAAACATCGTTTGAGCAAACAAATCATGGAGTGGCGAAGCAATGTATCGCAACAACAGCAACATTTTTCGAAGGTAATAGGATAGACGAAGGGATATGTATGGGACTTACAGAAGCTGAGAGGGGCTTAAGGAATAGCGCGAGTTGTGATGAATAACTGATTAAAAGCAACTGATCAATGCAACTGACTAAAAGAGATGAGGACCGACTCGGAAACTGTTGTAATTGGCTACGGAATGCGCGCGTCTCGGTCCAGCAATTGTTACAAGTCCCAGTCGGAGTGCAATATGAGGATCGTAATACATCTGGGGTTTATCGAAAAATGGGGTCACTGGTAGGGTGCTTTCGCGACTCCATGCATTTCGTAAACAGAACCGGCTCATTTACACCGAGAACGGCTTCCTATAGGTACGGTCACAATTTCCCGCTACGATCTTCCGCAGTCCCACCTAACATAAGATACTACTTTGTTTAGGTTTGGCCGCGACACCCTGATCCAGTTTGAAGATTTCGCGTTTCCCAAATGCGTTCAAGTTTTTGGACAAATATCGCGAAGATTACTGCACCTTTAATGATGATATTCAAGGTAAGCAGTTGCATTTCTGCCTGTGTTTTGATAGCAGAAAATTTTCATTTCTCTCAAGGAACGGCTGCTGTGATAGTCGCTGGTCTGCTCGCAACTACAAGGATTACCAAGAAGAAGCTCTGCGAACAGAAGTTCCTTTTCCACGGAGCTGGAGCGGTACGTTTGCTGATGAACCAGTTATCTGGTGTTGCTCGACACAGAGGTCTGGGGGTGGATTATTCACTTTTTCACATACGTAAGACTGGTTGCTCTTACAAAGCTGGGCATTTTGAGGAGGGGAGGGGCGTACTTTACGAAGTTTTCCTACGATAAAGTCGTGCAGTCGGCAAGTCAAGTCGACAGTCTGGTTATTAGACTCCTTACTCGAAGAATAATCAAACCTTCAGCAATGTCGGTAATGCAACGACTTTCTGAAATTCTGGAGGTATTATGGATTTAGGCCGGTTTGGGTATCGCTGAATTGATGGTCATGCAAATGCTTTCCGAGGGTGCCAGCAAAGAATCAGCATGTAATAATATTTATATGATTGATATCGATGGCTTGGTTACGAAGAAAAGGGCACAAAACATGACCGAACGCCATCGTCTCTTCGCTAAAGTGAGTTTCCAAACATGTTTCAGTTCTCCTGAGCCCACAACCATTGGTGAAAAAGGCTGTTCTGGCCCCGCGCTTCAATAAGCGCCCCTTATCGCTTGCAGGGATAGTGGCTATGAGGCATGTGAGGCTCACAAGGTAGTTTATAACTGGTCCATGACCGAAGCGTAAAAACCATAGCCGATCGGAGCATAGCCATGAAAAAAGCGAATGGATGCAGTTTAGCAAACCCTGTCACGGCAAGGCAGCCCAAAGAGGAGCAGAAGGAGAGCTTGCGTGCCCAGCTCTCACACCAGAACCTATAGGATTCAGCGCGATAATGCTGCCGCACGTGGCTCCGTTACATGATTATTGGCTAATCTGGGCGCAGTGGCGCGCCCAGGATGTTGTGGACACCATTTGCGAATGAGGTACCTCACCAAAAAGCACCAGGCATCAGGAACCTCAATCTATTTGATGCGTATTAATACATTTCTGAGCCAAATCTTTCTGCAGGACTTACCTGAATCGAAAAATCTTCTGGAAATTGTGAAAACCGTCAAACCAAACGGAATAATTGGTTAGTGTTTTGCAGCCAAATTTATTAGGCAGAATGGTTGCAAGGATTGAAATCAAGAACTGAACTTAAATCTTCAAGATGCACCCTTTACTGACTAGCCTCCACTAGTATCTGAAGTTTCAGCCGTGTTTTCGGAGGATTACTTGATTCGAGTGGAGCACACGATGACCCATTCGCCGTTTTTGATAATATCTTTCGGCGCAGTACGGCGACGGGGGGGGGGGTTCGCGGTTTTGCTGTTTCACTAGTTCTGGTCTCACTCTGGTGAAACTTGTGAACTCTTGTGAAGCTGGAGAAAGCTGGAGCACCATGATAAAACCTGTCAACAAGAAAAGACACTACATGGGTGGACAGGTCGATGGGAAGTAGCAAAAGTGCAAAATGCCCCCGTCGCCGAATTGCCCCTATATTACTGACTAGCTACAGCGCCTCCCAAAGCGTCATGTGTAGACGTCCCTACGTGCCCACATTTTTGCTCAACTTCAGCCTGCCTTCATCAACGGCTGCTCGCCCTTCATGGGAATGAGTGGTAGAAGCTAGCTGGCACCGCGCCAAAACGAGTAAGCATAAAAGCATCTATCAGAAGCCTGGCTAAGCAGCACAGTAAGCAGCTAACGTCAACTTTGCGACCTTTTTTTGGTTCTGATGGAGGAATTGTCGCCACCCCTACCGCCAACATAAAAACAAGGGTCCAGTAGTCTAGAAGAAATGTAAGCAGGATATGAAGTCTTTTATTTTGTCCGTGATTTCTTCCACGGAATCTCAAAACACAATTAGCAATGCATTTTAGGGGTGTCAACACAGGGAGGTGCGTTCACCGATGAGATCATCAAGGAGATGGGCAATCTGAACGAACGCCCGATCATATTCCCACTGTCCAATCCAACATCGAAAGCTGAATGCACAGCTGAAGCTGCAATCAAAGGCACCGACGTAGGTTCACGTTTATAGTAAGCGTGAAACAAGTAGAACTTTCTATTTTGAGAGGGGTGCTGGAAATGTTTGTTGAAGGCGGAAGTAAGTTGGTGGAGAAGCATGGCGTGATGGCCCACCCAAATGCAAGAGCTAGGCCGAGAACATGGTCCGGCTGCGGCAGGGGTTCTCCGTGGGTAAGGTTACCAGATGCTACTGAAGGGAACCAATGGGGTAAGGTAGAATGAGCAGGACTTCCCCGAACATGGCGAAGTAGAAACAAGTGGATGATGGAACGGGTTCACCGGGACTCTCTGGCCGTGATTAGCTCAGGATTCTAGAATCAAAGATTTGGCTAAAATTGTCCCCAGAAAGAGCTCTCGGTCAAAATGTAGCCAAATTCTCGAAGCGTGGGATTGTAAACGGTACATAGTGCCGCAGGTGTCTTATGATTGTAAACTCTCATGTCGTTCAGGGCAGAGTCTTATTCGCGTCTGGTTCACCGTTTGACAATGTGAGCACAACGGGAAGTTGTACAAGCCTGGTCAAGGCAACAACTCATACATCTTCCCCGGTGTTGGCCTGGGCGCGGTTCTATGGAGAACTAAGAAAATTCCCGACATGGCATTCCTGATTGCAGCCAGGGTACGTTGAGTGCAGACTTCTGCCTAAACCTTCTTATTTCAACTTTACTACATTTAGACATGTGCAAGTATGGTCACGGACAAATCACTCGAGAAGTATGTCAGGCTGTACCCGAGACTCAAAGAGATTCGAGAACTATCCGTGAAAATTGCCGTCAATGTCAGTTATCCCTCCAGGCCATCAGTTTATCATATGCTGATTGCTAGAAGCGTTTTTTTAAAATTAATATGGGGCACCGCTCGGCTCGGGAGGGACTGATTGTACAAAGAAAGACGCCTACGAGCTGCTTAAGGGCGGCGACTGT